GCAAATGTTGTCGAATGCGAATCGTTGGAGGATGTCTTGAAATCAAGGACTTGTTTTGGGCTGCCGCCGTGGCCAGAATAGGAATGAGGCGATCGTTGAGCTCGGTGTCCACAACCTGTTCAACGAATTTACGCAGAGACCTGGTGTTGAATACATGGCTTGCGATTTGCCTTTGGAATTTCCAGGTTTCACCGTCGGTGTTGAAGATTCCGTTGCCCAGAAAGTCGGTGAGGGTTTCGCGGAAGGCTTGACCCTTTTGGTAAACTGGGAAATGGTTTCTTCAAAATGTGTTGTACGACGGCGGGATTGCCGGTAACGACAGCTCGCTGCCCCAGGGAGCGATGGAAGACGTAGGTATTGGCCGGTGATATTAGGACGACATCGGAGAGCCACTGGATCCGGCGTTCGTAATTGGCTATAAGTTCTGGATAGGAACCGATTAGAGGGTATGATTTTGGGAGGGGTCGTCGTGAGAGGAGCAACGAGATCGTTCTTCTTCTTCTCTTGATGTTTGCAGGGGACGGGCCTTTGAACAGGAAGAAGAAAATGGCAGGAAGACAGAAGAAGAGAAAGAAGAAAGCCAAGAGCTGAATGGACATATTGTTGCACAGGAAACAGAACTCAGGAACAAAAGAGCTAAGTAAATCAGAATACTACGGAAAAGATTCAATTTACAGCTATTTGTTTTGGTACGTAAATGAAGGGATCCTCCATTGATATGTATTCATACATTCTGGTAAAAAAAGATATCTATTCATACATGGCTCTAAGTCAATGTATCCAATAGATCAGAGATGATTTCCGACTTCCAAGTGTGAAAGCGCACAGGGATTGGCTTATCCTCTTCGATAAGAAATCATATGTGGCGTCATTCATGAGCCTCGCCGGTTATGCGAACAAGCGCGACAATGTTACGTGGTTGACAAGTAAATTCTAATGCTCAAATTTAAGTAAACGTGTAATGAATTTTAAGTTTCTCTTAAAATTTAATATTTTTTTTATTTTGCTCTTAATAGTTTATTTTCTCTCTTTACCCTTTCTTATTATATTTTTCATACATTTTTAATCACTTTTCTTATTTATTACAAAGACATATTTAAAAATAAAAATTTATTTATTACCTACTTATAATTTTTAATTAGTTTTAACTAATTTTTTTATTATATTTAAATCAGTTATTTGAAACTTATAATACATGCCAAAAAAGTGTTTTGAATTCAAATCTTATTATCAATGTTATCATGCAAAGATGTTGATGGTAATTAATTTATAAATTCGTTGGCAAAAGAGAAATTATAAATTCATTCATATGCACTTTTATTTTTTTACTCAAAAGCATATCCTGTTTTCAGAATCCAATTCACTGAAAGTTTGATGAGGTCATGAGGCTGCTTAATAATAAATATATAAATCACATATGGTTAACTTGTTTGTCCAGAAGCAAAAATAACACGCAACTCGCTGGAGAGGAGCGCCGGTGAAAATGGAACCAAGAAAGGGTCACCCTCCTCTATTTGAAAATATAGAAACTATTTAAAAAGAATAATTAAACATATAAGTGGAAGCGTGTCTTGATTTCTTGTGGAGCACGGGCGACATATAAATTTTTATCCCAATTTCAGTCCTACAAGTCTTGCTTCTTTTCGGCCCCGCCTATTGCGCATTGCGCAAGCTCTGCTTTGCAAACACTAGCTTGCTATGAAGCTCAAGGGGCACAGGTACCTTTTTATTGTTATGATTATGATTTATGAGCAAATGAGGTTTGACTCTGTTGGTGGGTCCCACGAAGCTTTTAGGACTTGTTTTTTAATACTATCTCTGATGCTAAATATAAAAATTAGTTGACTAATTTAAAAAGATTAAAAAATAAATTAAATTAATTATTTGTAATAAATTTGTGTTATTTTTTCTTAAGATATCCTTACTAATCATGTGTATTGGCTACAACTGCTATTATTAGAAAGACTACCTTAAAAAAAATATAAATATGAGAGATAAAATAAATTGGAGTCTTATATTTAGGATCAAAATAAAAATCAAACGAGTAAAGACCGAAGGTAGTAATAATTTATGGATTATGAGATAAGCATATAAATAAAGTTTTGTTTTAACTTACATAAAACATGTTCATAGGCACTTAGATAAACAGATTTGAACAATGCCTTAATTACATCTTTCCTTATGTAATGGAAATGATAACAAATTGAGAGAAAAATTAATAATAGAAGACTAAATTAGAGAATTTTAAACGATTAATAAGTATTTCTATCGTTTTATTTATAAGTCGCTTTCAACATATTTCACATAAATCAACAAAAAATTTAAAATTTATTAACTCTAATTTAAAATTCAATAACTTTCCAATTTCATCCTCATTTAATTTACAATGTACTCCTCTTTTTCTATTTATATGGAAAAAAAAGACGTTTTTGTCTTATTTATAGGATATTGAAAGAAATTTTTCGTATAAATATACAATTTTACTTTTCATTTATTATTATATTAACTTTATTTATATGAAGTATAATGTATATTAAATAGGGATAAAGTTAAAAAGTTATTAAATTTTAAATTAGAATTAATGAAATTTATTTATTTTTTAATCTGTGTGAAATATATTAAAAATAACTGGGGACAGGAAAAAAAAAGGTAAATTGAAACGGCCGGGAACTAGTTGCTTGTTAGAGGGGAAAGACAAAAACGCTTTCATTTTTTAACATTCCCCGAAGATGAGCACATTCAATTGTTTAATGCATTTTGACTTGTATCTGCATCCCTTCTGCCCACCAATAACTATTCGTAATTTATCATTAACACAACGTTCTAGGCTTCTCATACACAGACATATAGATAAGCAAATGCCCACGTGCGTCTAAACAAAATACTGAGAAAATAAAGTCCCATGCGGCTCATTTATGTAACAAGATTACAAGAATGAGATGAATTGTAGAAAGAGTTTAAGGGTGTGTTTGGTTGGAGGGGAGGGGAGGGGAGGGAAAATGAGCCCCTCCCTTCATTTGGTTAAAAATTTTGGAGGGGAGGGGAGCTAAAATGCCCCCTCCCCTCCCCTCCCTCCTCCCATTTTGGGTGTGTTTGGTTGGAGGGGAGGGGAGGGAAAATGAGCCCCTCCCCTTATTTGGTTGAAAATTTTGGAGGGGAGGGGAGCTAAAATGTCCCCTCCCCTCCCCTCCCTCCTCCCATTTTGGCTCCCCTCCAAATTGGGGGTTTTGGAGGGGAGCCAAAATTTTGGACCATTATGTCCTTATGATTTTTTTAATATTCCACTTCTACCCATAAAATATATTATTATAATATTTATTTCAAATAAAAAATATATTATCCTAAGTAAAAAAATAAAAAATATATACATTATTATAATTAAAAATATATTATAAAAATTATTTAAAATAAAAATTATTTAAATAAAAATTATAATATTATAAAATTAATTGTTTTTTTATAAATATATTATTTATTAAATATATTTTAAAGCTGGAAAAAAAGATAGCCTAAAGAAAATAAAATTTCATTTTTCTTAGAGCATATAAAATTTGTTAATTTGATTATTTTAAATATATTATTATATTAATTAGAATAAAAAATTACTATACCAATTTTTTAATACACATATTAACATGATAAGACTGAATTTTTATTAAATTATATAATTTAAATTAAGATGTAAATTAATTTATATAATATATCAATAAAAAACATAAACTAATATGTAAGGATAAAATGGTAAATTGATTATTACTATCCCTCCCCTCCCCTCCTTGAACCAAACAAGGGATCATTAAATACCCTCCCCTCCCCTCCTTTTTAATCAAACCAAACAAGGTGAAGATGAAACCCCCCCTCCCCTTCCCTATCCCTCCCTCCCCTCCCCCCCCTTCCCTCCCCTCAAACCAAACAGGCCCTTTGGCTCCCCTCCAAATTGGGGGTTTTTGAAGGGGAGCCAAAATTTTGGACCATTATACCCTTATGCCTTTTTTAATATTCCACTTCTACCCATAAAATATATTATTATAATATTTATTTTAAATAAAAAATATATTATCCTAAGTAAAAAAAATAAAAAAATAAAAACATTATTATAATTAAAAATATATTATAAAATTATTTAAAAATAAAAATTATTTAAATAAAAAAATTATAATATTATAAAATTAATTGTTTTTTATAAATATATTATTTATTAAATATATTTTAAAGCTGAAAAAAAAGATAGCCTAAAGAAAATAAAATTTTTTTTCTTATAGCATATAAAATTTGTTAATTTGATTATTTTAAATATATTATTATATTAATTAGAATAAAAAATTACTATACCAATTTTTTAATACACATATTAACATGATAAGATTGAATTTTTATTAAATTATATAATTTAAATTAAGATGTAAATTAATTTATATAATATATCAATAAAAAACATAAACTAATATGTAAGGGTAAAATGGTAAATTGATTATTACTATTCCTCCCCTTCCCTCCTTGAACCAAACAAGGGATCATTAAATACCCTCCCCTCCCCTCCTTTTTAATCAAACCAAACAAGGGGAGGATGAAACCTCCCCTCCCCTCCCCTACCCCTCCCTCCCCTCCCCTCAAACCAAACAGGCCTTAAAAGTCTAAAAAAATCTTCCAAATATAACTAAAAATACAAGGAAAAATAAGAAACAGGAGAAAAGTTAGCTTCACTACACTCGTCCAAATATATGAAGTATTTATGGCCAACAAACATATGAAGTATTACAGGCTCAGATCATAATCCACCATTTATGGACGGAGGGCTGATTTAAGAAATGTTCCGTTCCATAAGAAAAAGAATCACGCATGCCAATGAGGTCAAACAAGTCATTCCCTCTCCCACTTATTCGCAACCCCCCTTTTCTATCCTGCCAAAGCCATTTTTCTTAGAAATAAACATAGGTTTGTTGCTCAATATTTCTCTTCTTCTGTATGCCACTTTACCTACCAGTTTTAAAGCCGAAGAATAGCAGCCCAAATAGCAACAATTCCCTCTCTCTTTCAAACTACCGTAAGCAATAACTGGGGAAGAAAGCGTCTACAATGGATTCAACTATACATTAAAGCAAATGTCTATTAACAAGGAATAACAGCTGCAAAGTATTACAAGGCTAATCATAAATTCATACGCTGGGTGAGCCTCCATAATCACAAGTCACCGTCTTAATATAGGAAAACATCTATCTATCTATTTTATAATTAAAATAGGTAGACACATCCATAAATTTGATCATTTAAACCGTACCCACGAGCCCACGACAAAACCCCCACCATACAGCAGATCAATATGGGAATCAGCAAAACCTCAAAGTAGCTTCAAGCTCCTTCTCATCAGCACAATTATATCCCAGTAAATAAGCTCGTGCTGCAAAGAAAAAACGCACCATAATGAGTTTCAGACACAGAACCATACAGAAGACTAGTAAAAGAATGAATCTGTTTTACCAAAACGACCAGATCCCATAAATGGTTCTGCCTCATCGGTCACACCTCCTTGTTGCTGCTCCTGAGTTTCCAAAGGAACAAGGCGGAGCATTAGGTGTAAAAACTGTACCTCCGTTAAGAGTTTCTAAATTTAATTCTGATAAAATGAGGTGAATCATCAAATTTCTAATAAAAGCTTCAATCTATTTCTTGGTTTCATGAAACTAACGAAACTAAACCCTGAAGCAAATGTGGTAACATAACTCATTGGATTCTGTACGCAGTTCCACTCACATGACAGTAAAGTCAAGGCCCACTACCTCAAATATGATATATTTGGACAGATAAATTACTAGGAAATGTCATTCAAAATCTCAATAAGAAAAATACACATGTAAGACAGAGGAATCGTTAACTTACAGCATCAGGCTCCATTTCGGATGGTGACAGTAATCTATCAAAACAGTGCCCCGATATTGTACAGACCAAAAGCTCATTGGCCGGGTCCATAACAACTTCTCTACATGTATCATCACATACTGGGAAAAAGAACACAAAATAATAAAGATCTAGTCCAGACGCAAATTTTTAAATAAAATAATGAACTTTTGTACATCATTAAAACACAAAAAGAAATGGCGTGTCCCACCATGAACATGTCCAGTCTTCTCGCAAATAAATACATCTCCAATATGATGGTAAGAGCAAGTTTCGCCAGAGCAAGCATGATCAGTCACCACTGTATCACTGAGGCCTCTGCTTCTTTTCCATGAAGACACTTGATCAGCTACCGTTTTGTCAAGAATCATCCTATCATCTTTCAACTTTACATATGAAACAGAAAATCAACATACATGGTTAAGCAACGTCCCTTATATGAAAGTATAAAGTAATTAAACAAAACAGACAAGAATTCAGATATACATGTGCAATACCGAGAATCAGATCAGATTCAAGCTCATTGGAGCGAAAACTTATCAACTGTTGTGTATATAAGCTCATTGGAGCGACAACTTGCCAGTTGTTGTGTATATAAGGATTTCATGTTTAACAAATGTCACAGGAGGCTGAAGTTCAACGCTCATTGTTTTAAGTAGGTTGCATTAAAAAAAGGTTATCGCAGTCTTTAGGAAAACTTAAAAATTAAAACAAAAGGTGTTTTTTCAAGACTGAAAATTGGAAGCATTTTCTCAAACCAGACGTACTTTTATGTTTTCAAAATGCAAAGTTCTGTCTCAACAAGTATCTATTTCAGGTTAATAACAACAAAAATAGAGGTGAATGGACATTAGAATATGATTCTAGATCTTCTTTCCTCCCTTCTCCAATTTCATTTCTTCAAACTTCAAGGGCAGGGCTACTGAACAGAACTTAAAGATGAAAAACCACCAGAGTCATATCTTCTTCTTTTGCTCCATTTCAATATTATTTTCAAGACTACTGAGAGAATCTTTAAACTATATTACTAATAACGGTCATAAAGTGCCAGAGGATATAATTTCATATTACAGTATATACCCTCATTACCTGTGAAGGAAGAGGTGCTTGGCTTCGTTTAGCTGCTTGCATTTGTATGTAATACTCTTTAAATTCATTTGAGCAGTTTCTCACAAGTTCAGCCATGTCCTCTTCATCACGCTGCATAAAAGTAGGATAAATGACAAGATCCACGCAAAATATGAAAAATAGATGCATGAGTTACTCAAGAATGATAAAGTACAGCTAATATGGTGGTTCAAATTTATTTAAAGTAATGCCTTCACATTGATCAACTCCAGCACATCAATAAATGGATAAGTACACATAGATGAATAATTAACAAATACTCAGTCACAAACTAGATTGGCTCATTATTGCCAGGATAGTGGTCCCTAATATATTATGCAATGCATGCAGCCATTGATAGACAGGAGAATCATGATATACACTCTCAGACTCGCTAGAGAATCACTTTTGTCTGTTGGTGCAATAATACTCAAACTAGTACAACAGTATGTAAACTAGAAGGGAAAGAGAGATTGTTTTTGGGATTGTTCATTTACTGCATGATGTTATCATTGATTCAAGTACCTGGATGTATAGCTTTTTCCATGGACATTCCGTTAATTTCCTTGTAGGCGGAAGCAGACCCCAACGCATACAGTACCTACATGAATGTGAACCCTTTTAAGTAGACAATAGGCATACTCATGGTTCATACAAATGTAACCGTGCACATGTCCCAAAACAAAGAATATCAAAACATGTAATTAAGATCAGTTCATTAAAGTCATAAGGAGCCAAGTTCCAGACAGCTCCATATTTGGACCGAACCAACTACAATAAAGTAATATACTTACAAGCGACGCCATAATGCTTCATCAGATGCTGCATAGTTTAGAAATTTACAGACTAATGAACAAGAAACGAGGTCCTGCGAGCATAGAAACAAACTAATTTCAACCAAGTAAAGTAACCAGGAAAACAATCCATGTACTAAGCATATAAAGAGTCATAACTAATTGACTTTTCTTTTTCACTTAAAAATACCTCGGAGGAGAGAAATTTAAGGATATGATGAAAAAGTTCAGGCGGGATTTTGCTGAAAAATCCAGTTTCGATAGTTTTAGGCGCTACGCTATTGTTGATATTATCGTTCTTAGACTCCAGCGATGGACTAGAATTTTTCTCGGTTTCTTCCTCGGTAATCTCAGCCGCCTCCACTACCACTCGCTTTCTCTTTGCTTTGGGCTCCTCCAAACTTTCTTCTTCCTGCCAACAACAATCACTCATATTATTTACCAAACAATTTTCCTTCCATATCAGCATGGATTAATTTCGAGTACAGCTACGAGGGAAAAAAATCCGAATACCAACTTAAACCCCTAATCTATCGTCAATCCACGTCAAATTTGAAGTTAAGAAAAACAAGCAAAACTAATCGGTGCACCTGATCAGAGACCTCAGAGAGAACCTCCGATTCCAAAAAGTATGCCAGGTTCTCGTCCTCTTCGTCTGAAAAAGTCATGGCGCCCCAAAAACCCTAGGAGGGTGGAATCGCAGGAAACCAACTTGTGGTAGACGACTTGCAACGCTAGAGCTTGAGGATTGAAAATCGGAAGGATGACCGGAATTCTAGAAATAGCCACCGGCGGCTGCCGGACTTAAGGATCGGAATTGTCGCCACCAAACGCAGGGAGCTGGAGCGGCCAAAGATTGAATTGATCAAGATGACCTGATGGAGGATGGACGGTTGGATGCATTCCGGGTCATCCTGACCCGTTTTCGGGGTATTGGGCTTATCGGATTCTCAATTCAAAATGGGGGCCAGCAGGCTATGCCCTATTATTTAGGCCCAGCAAAAAGCGGCTATGCTTTGCTAGTCATTGGGTTGAGACCAGAATCCATCCCTTTTATCAAAATTTCGTTTGTCTCAATTTATTACCAAACTATTGCCCATATATTTTAATTACGGAGTTAGTTCTAATTCTAATATTACTTCTTGGCTGATTAATTCTAATATTTCGATCATTAGTCATGTGGTCCCTCAAGCTAAAGATAATGAGGCTTAATAAAGTTGAAGTGATAGTTAAACCCTGATATAACATTTTTATTAAATGTCACACCATCTTTTCTCTTTAATTTTACGTTTTTTTTTAAATTTCTAAATCAAGTCCAAATCAAGCCTTCCGAACTTAGCAATGAGTTCTGATCTCTGAGTGCAATTTTTTTTTTGGGGCAAAATTCTGAGTGTACAGTTTGGAAAAGCCATTTGGTGATTGTTTGAATTCTCCTAAAAATATGCTTTTTAATATTTTACGAGATAAAAATCCTTTCACGCTAACAGCCAGCAAAATTTCTCTCAATTGACTGAAATCATGCATGCATAAACAAATTTGTGGTTTCCTCACTGATCCAGAATTGAATTCCTCATTCTGCTTATTTTGAAACTTGGAAATTGAAATAAATAAACACATAATTAAGCAAAAAACATTAAAAAAAACTAGTAAAAAAACTGAAAATATAGTTATATAATTATGATCTTTTTTTACGACAGTGCAACTAGGATCAGGTGAATAAAACTTGACCCAAGAATTCCATCGATGGATTAAAACTGTCACTGGTTTTTCTGAATGTCCTCCTTGTTATCTCACATACCAACTTGCATACTTAATGTACATGTTAGATAATAATTAATTTGTGAATGCTAAGAAAATTAATTAAATTAGTCATTAACAAATGCATCTTAATATTTTGAAGCTATTATTTTTTATCATATGTATTAAAATGGTATTTTGATAGACAAAATGGATCGAGGTCTTCTATTTAAAACCAAAAGAAACTTTTCATTTAGTTCTTATATCAAGTACAGGAGAAGATACATTCGAAGCATCATCACGCGGCGTTAGGCATCCAACTATCCATGAGCCGCGTGGATGGCCTAAATCTCTATCATTAGTGATTTGAAATCAATTGAAGGACAAAAACGTTGGAGCTGAGGAAGCTGTGTCGGGATCTGTATTCTGCTTCTACCTCACTCTGTGTAGTGCTAAATAAGCAACCAGTCGATAACCCACCAACATGAGAGCCATCATGAGAACATCCACCCACAAATGATTCAAACCCATTGATTTAATGGGAGGGAAATCTTCGACTCTGCACAAAACCCCATTGGAGCACTCATAGTAATCATCTTCATCGTACTGAACACCCAGAAGCAGCCTGTAACAGTAATAACTATAGCTTAAGTACTTGAGCCAAGCTATGAATGGGGGGATCTGTTGAACGTAGTAGCCTCCAGCAATGAGGAACACTAGGGTTGTGACAGAAGCTAGAGTCGTGGCCTGCTTAATCTCCATTAGAATAGCTCCAAATGCTAAGCCCAGACTCTGTGACACAAGAACACTGTACAGAACAACGACTAGTGAGAGAATGAAGGTCACGGGATCAGGCTTAAGGCCTCCCATCCAGTAGATTATGAACACAAATAGAGTGGGAAGTGCAAGTTCTAGTGCAGATCTCCTATTGTTCTTGCCAGAAAGTAGGAAGAGAGACGATACATTCCTGAGGATCGCTCTTTGATAAGCATTCTTCTTTCTTGAGGGAAAGTGAAAACTGCATTGTACAGAGGGTAAAATCCCCAGAAAACAGAGAAGAAAAACAGCAATGCTACCTGTATTATCAATGCGGAAACCCCATTAAAATCCTCGTTTTAGTTATCTCATCAACGAAACAAAGTCACAGATCAACTAATTAGAGAATGAATGAAAGGCATATAGTTTTAAGGTAAGTCCTATCAAATTGACTTAAAAGCCTTTGATAGAAAGACAAGCAAATATGTACTTTAAACATACCCTGTCTTGGATGTGAGATTCTGGGGTATGCCACCACAAGAGTCCACCAAGGAAAGCAACACTTATGACTTGGAATATTCTCAATCCATTGAAGGCTTCATATCTTCGTTCTCTGATCCCTCTTTGTAACAACACTATGAACTGATACCACCAGCTTGTGCACCATTGCTCTGCTTTTGCTATGTCATTTCCTGAACCAGGTCAGCAGAGAAAGGTGACTTAATTAATCATTTAGGACCGAAGTAACATTAACAAATGTGTATGTACGTAGCAGTGGAAGAAGAAGAAAGAGGAGCTACTTGATGAAGCACGTTTGGTGAAGTTGTGGCTAGAAATCTCAAGTTTCAACTTTGGAGCAATGTTGTTTTCATAAGCAGAAACGAGAACTTCTCTGGTTTGCTCCCTCTTGTTCCGAGCTCTCACTCTGTTGACTTGCTTGCTTGGAGTCAGGGGCAATCCCTGTAATTAAATTCCAACTCTATCCCCATCATCTAATACTCCTTGACTCTCTGTTGAGCATACATGTTTAAAACTATACTGTACTTGAGTAGAGGAATAAAATTTACACCAATCATTTTTTTTAATTCTAAAAATAATGTATGCAAATATCTTATTTATTTTTATAATCAATACAAATATATTTGAATTTATATTAAAATTACGCATGCCTTCTCTATTTTGAAATACACACACAATCTTACCTAACTTTAAAAAAAATAAAACTACACAATTTTTTATGAGTTTTACTAAAATTAATCATGTTGACATTTCTTATATTTTAGAAATATAATTTTTTTCTGATAACTAAGAAGGAGATTTTTCTAAATAATAAATTAAGGAGAGATGTATGATTTACTAAAAGAAAATTCCACCCAACTCTCAGTTTCAAGGAAAAAACAAGATGATAAGAGTGTACTAATTTATAATTACCGTTAGCAAGATCAAGCAAGAAGTCAGCAGGATTGACAGTGATGGATGTGGAGAAACCAATAGAAGAAAAATACTCCATGGCGGCCGCAGCTGGTCCATTATAGATACTCCATCCTTCCGACAGCACCACCACCTTGTCAAACATATGATACAGACGGCTCGACGGTTGGTGGATGGTGGTGACCACCGTCCTTCCGCCGCTAGCCAGCCCCTTCACGGTGGTCAATATTCTCTGAGCCGTCGTGGAATCCAACCCCGACGTGGGTTCATCTAGCAGCAACAAGCTGGGATTTATGAGCATTTCTTGGCCTATACTCACTCTCTTCTTCTCTCCTCCTGATATGCCTCTCACCAATGCTCCTCCAATGATACTGTTTCTGCAACGTGCGAGGCCAAGTTCTGCGATAACTCTCTCAACGTGTTTCATCTTCTCGGTGTTGGTGAGGCTATTGGGAAGCCTGAGAAGTGCGGTGAAGATTAGGGTTTCAGAGACAGTGAGATGTGGGTAGAGAACATCGTCCTGAGCCACAAAACCTGTCGTTCTTTTGATGGAGCCTGAGAAGGGTTGGTTGTTGTATGTGATTTTGCCTGATAATGATCTGCCATTTAAACGACCTCCAAGAGCTGTGAGAAGTGTCGTTTTGCCGCTCCCAGAAGGACCCAGCATGGCCAGAATCTCACCTGGCGATACCATCCCTGTGATTCCATTCAGTATCGTCTTCTCTCTGCAACTCCACGAACTTCCCCAGCACAGCCCTTTATGCTCTGGTTTCACTTTATACACCACCTCCTCAAACTGCAAAATATACAGAAGTTAAACCAGATAAATTAATAATCAGTATATATCTATATATAATGGCAGGTTTGGTTTTATTTCGTGGAAGGGATCAATGGCATTAATTAATAAATTTAATTACCTTCAAGGTTATGGGGTACAAAGTGAGTTTTGGTAAGGATTGGTGAGGAGAGTGAAGAGAATCATCAGAAGTCATTTCTGGGTTTGAAGCAATAGAATGAGAAATTTCCAGTCTTTGAGGAAGAGAGAGAGAGAGATGATGAGGATGGTTGAAGGGGAGGAGAGAGAGTCGAGTCAAATTAATCTCCTTTTAACCTCACTTGTTACCTTCCATGAGGAGCACTTACACCCACACACACATATATATAGGTCTTCATGGGATCTTTCTTCAAGTGGAAGCTATAGGAGAAAGATTGACACAAAAAATTAAATAATTCACTTATTATTGTGTGTCTATACCGCGTTTTTCTTCACTTTATTTGAAATAAATTCAAAAGTCCAAGTTAGTGTAAAAGGCGAAATATTCCAAGACAATAAATGATATCCATAAGATTATATATAAAAGTTGTGAGCATATCACCTTTAATTTTCAGCTCGCTGTCCCATTCTTTTTTGGGGAAAAAAAAAGTTAATGCACTTTTGTAAATTTACTTTGCATGCTATGGGGATGTGAAATTTTGGGAGAGCCTTAGAAATTATAACCAAAACTAGGTAGTTGTGGAATATTCTCTAGGGCATATATCTAAACTCTTGCTCATAGGGAGGGATAATTTAAGGTTTAATTTATATATCTAAACACTAAATTATTAACATCACAATCCCATATCTTTTTGAAGCCCCTAATAATCTTTCAATTGATAGAAAAGAACACCATAAGAACCAGACAAACAAAAGAAAAGTGAGTGTTGCAATTTGCAGTGATGATCAATACAATAAAGCTAAATACAGGAGCACTACTACATCTTGTTTTGGCTTACTAGTGATAATGGAAGGATTGTTGTTATTAATTTGTACTACGTGCTATGCACAACATAGTGATAATATGTCGTACATTTGTGCATTGTCACATCAAATATTATATAGGTCTTTAATATAATATAGAACTTAATTAT